TTACACACATTTTCGGGCTGTTCCATACGAGCTATCGAGGTGAGCTCCCAGCCCACTTCTTCCACCCACGCATCCACATGAATGCATACGCGCAGCTTTTTGAGAAGGATGTCAGCCTTCTCGATGGTAAACACTTGGAGCACACAGCCCTCAGAACGCTGAGAAGGATAACTGAGTGTCAATCTGTTTTTGATATGTTGCAAATGAACTCCTTGCTGACTCCTCGAGATTATTAAATATCCTAAAGCCAGAAGTCTTGACAGCCCACATCTAGAAAAAACAACCGGTTACATATTAATATCTCTTTTAATGATAGTTAAAGTTCGATTCCAAGTTAGTTAAAATACAATCGAAGCTGCTTTTGTGGGAACTAGCAAATCGCTAACCTTTCTGTATAGAGTTTTCTACACACAAGGAATAACGCAAGGTCTAAAATCGCAATAAGTTTGGTTTATTGTATCTGATTTTTGTTTGTTTAAAAAAACTGAGCTTTTTATTTTTATTGTACTACTGAAGGAATAATAATTTTTAACGACTAGAAAAAAAATAATCTATGAGGTCTAGTAAGTTTTATTTTATAAAATTCCAAAAGCGGGCATAAAATCGCTTTTCGTTTGCCAAGACATGAAGTATCAATATATATAATTCATCCTACATTTTTTACGATTAAGCTAATTAAAAATGGTTTTAAGGTTAACATAAGTATTTGTCTTAAAGATTTAAGGTGCTATGCCCTTTTTGTTATGAGGAATATTTGTATACCCTTGCAGAGGGTATTATAATTTTGGTCAAAAGTGTGCAACGCAGTGAAGGAGGCATCTCCGACCCTATAAAGTATATATATTCTTGATCAGGATCACCTCCTGAGTTGATATAGCCATGTCCGTCTGTCTGTCCGTCTGTCCGTCTGTCTGTTTCTACGCAAACTAGTCTCTCAGTTTTAAAGCTATCGAATTGAAACTTTGCACACACCCTTCTTTCCTTTGCACGCAGTATATAAGTCGGAACGGCCGGGATCGGCCGACTATATCCTATAGCTGCCATATAACTGATTGATCGGAAATACCATAACTTTGGTGTTTGTAAAGTTAGAAAGTTGGGATTTTCTATGGGTTTTATATTTGGACAATCAATCCGACCTACCAAATTTCATAAGGATCGGCCGACTATATCCAATAGCTGCCATATAACTGAACGATTGGAAATGCCATAACTTTGGTGTTTTTAAAGTTAGGAAGTTTGGATTTTTTATGAGTATTAAGAATGCATCATAGGAATTATTTTGGAGAATATAATTATAGAGTATTCTGCAAGGGTATATCAACTTCGGCTCCGCCCGAAGTTAGCTTTCCTTTCTTGTTTCTTTAGGTTTTAATTATAAATTGGCCTAATCGGGAAAGACTTCTAGGATTTAAGAGATAAATTTGTATGGTTATATTTTTTTTCTCATCAATAATGATTGTTGTCTGAGCTTAAGGAATAAAATTATAAAATTATAATTATGAGTTAAAGAAATAATACTCATGAAATAAAAATGATGGTGGATTTGTCTAGACTAACGAAAATGTAGGATTATTAGTTTTCTTGTATTTTTTGTACGACTATTGTCAGTTTATTTTTTTTATCGTCCAAATCAAAAGTAATCATTATTTTCGGTCCTTGAAATATGGTTTTAACCACAAAGTGCTTACAAAAATTATGAAGACTGCCAATAAAAAAATGATTTGTGTGTTTATTATTATTTTATTCTGCTCCAGTGCCCAGCCATGAGAATGCATTTTGATGATTTGCTTTGCTGGTGCCGCCAAGCCGGCTCTGGCAAATGAAATTATAATAAAAGAATTCCCCAACCGGGAGCAGCAGCAGCAGCAGCAAGGACGACCCCTAGCACACACAGCCATTCCAACGAGCACGCACACGGGCTCACATGGGGGCGAGTGCAGACCAGGGTCGTAAATGCCATTATTATTTTGTAAACATTGCGACAGAGTGAGTGCCCAAAATTGTTAACTTACAAGGTCGTGAAAATACATAAAAAATGGGATACATCGCGTATAAAAAAACAATGGCTGCAACTAACACAGACAAGTGCAAACGCACACAGCAAGACAAATAAACAAGCTAGACATTCTGTTGCAGCAACATACAAACTTTTAATTAATTTCTGTCTGTGTGACCCGTGAGTATACGGGCACATACGTCTAACTGATTGCTATGATACTGCTAGTTGGTGTTGGTGTTTTGTTTACTTGTGTAAGCGTGTGGTGTGCGGGGAGTGGGTGTGTGTGTGTGAGGGTCCTTTTCGGCACACACAAACAAACAAGAACAACACGAACATTTAGTGTCGCTTTGGTGGCAAAAATGGCTTGACCCAAATGTAATCAGGTAATTTGTTTTGCACTGTCAATATTTACACGGCTGCCTCGCATATTTGAACTTAATAATGATTTGCTGAGTTATTGTCCTCGCATGGCCACATAGGGAAAACAGGAAAGGCAGGGAAAGCAGGGCGGAAGCGGACTCAAAGCTCCGGGTGGGGGGCATTGATTTCCCTGGAAAGCGGCCTGCTCGCTGCTCTTTAAATATTGCATGCTCAGTCAGCCTAGACATTAACTTGGCCCAGACACGAGTCCCACTCGTGCCGCCTGTCAGCCAACCTCGACGGCCTGACTGCCTGACTGCCTGAATGTCTGACAGACAGCAAGTGAAAGTAGTGCAAAAGAGCAACAACCGAAATTGATTTAATAGCCCTACATTATGGGGGCTAAATGCATACATGCTGCCAGATGTTCCCCAATGTGTATGGGGCATTCACACCCTCCCACCAACATTCGGGCGACTTTACTGCTCAACAGTTTCTACAGACTTGTCAATAAGCTGCAGTGGTTCGGCTTGGATAATTGGAAATTTCAGGTGAATCGAATTAATTACTGAACGCTTAAGTCAATCAAGCAATGAACTTACCTTCCATTTATGTGTCTAGCTCATACAAATATCGATCAAAGATGAAATTAATAACTGTTAAATAACTCGTTGAGGCTTTTGATTGGCGAAAACATCTTAGAATACTGGATTGGACCTAAGGCAATTGAAGCGTAATGTTTAAGACTGAAGCAGTTTTCCCTCTGTTAAATCGCAATCCGCAGGCAAATCACATCTCATTTAAAATACGGAGAAGTTTTAATGTCCGCAAGAAAAAAACGCTCGCACTTTAAATTTATGTTTGGCAAATATTCATCAACATAGTAGGGCCTCAGGTCGTTTTCAATTCAATTACGACTCAAATACAATGCTTACTCAATTGATGTATGGCCTATCCTTGCTGTAGGGCCAACAGTTTGTTTCCTCTCCTCGTGTCAACACATTTTTTTATTTTTATTTGTTCTTTTGGCAGCCGGCAAACAGTAGGTAACATTTTTCATTCGAGTTGGAAATAAAAAGAGAAACTACGTTCGGGGACAACAAAACATTACACAGATAGTGTCGACAGGACAGGCGGGGCAGGAAGCAGGCGAAGGGCGATCGGCATTGGGCAGGGGGCAGTGGGCGGTGGGCGGGGGGAGGGGTAGATACGAAATCATATCGAGCACGGCTGAAGTTGAACGGGGTCAAAGTGAATGAATCGAGCATATTGACCATTGACTAAATGGCTGGCAAGCATGCGAGCCAGCAAAAAACTATGGGCCAGATGTCGATTGTGGTTGGGTAAAAAAGGGGTCAACGCTTGTATTATTTTCAGCACAGTGGCAATAATTCAATTCGGAACATTAAATCCCTGAAGGCATTATGCAGCACAAATTTCTCCAGGGCGACTTTGCTTCTTAATTAAGGATATTTGTAGGCAAGCGCCCGCCTATCGATGCCAGTTTATACAACTGGCGATCCCAGTCAATTCCCAATTCTGTCGCAATAGCCACAGCTTCCTTTTTATGGCCAGGACGAGCGTCCGGCTATCTGGCGCTCTTCCGCTCTCCGCTCCCCGCGCCAAAGCGCTCATGCAAAAGCAATTTCCTGGACTTTTTACCCGACCGCCAGCACGGGCACACACACGCGCGCCCAGACCCACTCACAGATTAAGACGGCGACCCCACTCGGAACGCATTGGCCGACTCCCGGATGCCTCAGCACTCGAAACCCAATGCGAATGCGATTATGCCCCTGCTACACCAGCACACCAGCACACCCACCCCCCACTCCCCCACTCACCCACTCAGCCGCACACACTGCCACGCCAGCGTACAAATTGCGCGCTGTAAGTAAGAAATCATTGAGGTTGGTCGGCACACTAATGGAAAACGACAAGCGGCATGTGGGCAGCCGATTTGGCGACCATCTCCCCGCTCCACCCTCCACCATCCTCCACTTTGCCATATCCTAACCCTTATCCGGCATCCTGGTGGCCAGCGATAGTTGTCAGTTGGCCGGGGGATTTACTCCACGTTCAGGCTTGGCGACCGCAAAAGTTTAGTTGCAAGTTGCGGCTCTCCTTGCGGCAGTCAGCTGTCCGCCTGTCCTCCTGTCCGTCGCTCCGCTCATCTGACTGCCAGTTGCATTAGGATATCAATTTGAGGACACTGATTCGCTGGTGGGTCCCCGTCTACCGCGCCGGAGGGCGTCGTCCGAGGTCCGGCTAGTGCGGTCTTTCAGCAGCCAAACGCTCCGGCACGTGACATTGGCAAAGTGAATTCAGTTCGCAAATGTGACACAGTTTGGGCATCTTGGGCCCAAGCAGCTCGGAGTGCCTCCGCGGAGACCTAAGAGAGCTGCCGCGGGAAGGACTCTCTTAGTCGGCTGCGTCCTGGAAGCGATGGAAGGCGTCGCGGGGTCCTCGTCGAGGAGGTCGGCTCGTGTCGCTGACCTGAAAGCTGGCGGGAGCTTTCGCTCAGCCCGGCCAGGCGCATGTGCGGACGCTCCCTTCCAGCGGCGGGCTGTTCCCGAAGGCGGACGGAGTCCTGGTCGGCGCGGGTCGTCCTGTCAGTTCACTTCGTTTGCTCGTCGAAAGCTGTGCACGCTGCGGAAGCCACGGCATCGCTCGCAGCCCATTGGCAACAACAACACGGCGAACACTACCAGAATACTGAAAGCGACAACAACAAGGCCGCACCGAGTGAGGGGCTGAGGTTGAAGTGGAAGCGAAGGCTTTCCGGCGGCAAAAGTGTGTTTGAAATAATCGAGAGTTGCCGCGAGTAGCGAGTTCAACTTGTGTGTTTCGTTTCGTTGTGTGGCCCTGTAATCGCACTTGTGCCGGGCAAAGTCGGTGCGTAGTGGGCGGAACCGAGAGGAGCCAGTGCCTCCGCGTCAAGTCACTCTGTCCACAACTGCAACTAAAAGTCGGCGGTGACAAAAGTGAAAGCGGAAACGGAAACAGAGGCGGCAGAGCGCCAGGGGACCGAGGAACAGGCAGCGGCAGTGACAAGTGTGAAATGTGCGGCTCCAGTGTCGTTTGGTTTCTACTTTGACCCAAATCGCATTGCATCCGAGCAGTGCCGGTGTGTGAACGTACGGTGCGAACGTATGTCCGACGGTGACCGATAAGCCAGCCCAGTGGTTGTCACCGCCAACGAAAGTCGCGCGTGCCGGCAGCCAGACAAGTACATAGAACTCAAGCCATCGGAGCCAGCCGCAGCATCCATTCCGGACTCGTCCGCGCTCGGAAGGCCATCCACAGTTGGCCGTCTCTGGCATGTGAGTATGACACGTGCTTAATGTGACTTTCCGCCTTCCGCCTCCCGCTGCCTCACTTTGGCCCAAGCTAGCTTATTTATGCGGGATTTGGAAGTTTGGGCATTGGTTTATGGCCTGCGGCAAGCACAAACTTGGCTGCTGTCAAACACACAACACGAACGTCGCTTGAAAACACATCATTTACGGCAGGTAAATGGAACCTCCCATTCCTCCGGGGAGGTGGCTGACTAAATGGGTTGCTTATCAAGAGGGAAAAGTGTATTCAAATTTTATTACGGCTTGCAATGAAATCTGCTTGCCTAGACTTGATAAGTGGGCCATATTGGAACTAACTAAATCGGTTTCAAATATTAGTATCGATCCTTAAAATGTTTAATAGTCATAGTTAAAATGTATAATATAATGGTCATACAAACAAGAAGGGACTTTATTGATTTATAACACAACGCCTTAATCCAACTCTCCTTTCACGATGAGTATTTTAAGTTTATTTGCATTTGCAATTTCTTATTAGGTTGTATAGATTAGATGAAATCTTAATTGCAATTATATTTAAATTGAAGTTAAAAATTATTGTCAAGATATGACCATAAATTGATTTCACTTTCAGTTCGTTGAGTAGGAATGCAAAATACTGTTTACCTATAATCAAAATTATGTTGAGTTAATCAAAAGCCTCAAGAATTGTTTTTTGACGACGTGCCGTAAACAAACTCGGCTCGATTATGACGAAGCCAGCTCAGAGCACCAGACCAGGCCGCAAGAGTAAGCCTGGCCTAAGAATGTTCGCCAGCCAGCATTTACACACACACACACACACACACTGGGGCATGCAAATGGGGATCGGGGGTCCGACGGCTTTCTAATGAAATGACAAAATGAAAGCACATGAAAATTGCTAAGAAAAGCCAAATATTTGTAAACGAATCCCTTGGAGACGGGCGCTAATGGCGAAAGACGTTGGCGAGGCGTGTGTGTGTGACGGAGCCCCCGGCGCTAAGACGTGTGTGTGTGTTGGGCGGGGGGTGGCCGTGTGATTAAGTGTGTGTGCGTGCAAGGACGTCGGGGGAACGGCCACGCGGAAAGCAATTAAATGTATTTCCGCTTCGATGTCAAATTTAATGCGAGTTTGATATTTGAAAGCGCGCACGCACACTCACACGTGCAAGGGAAGAAAGGTCGTCCAGGTGGCCGGATGTGGGCCACTGCTGGACTGTCATCGGAGCAGGGGGGCGGGACAGGAAGAGGAGCGTTTCGTCACCTCGGGGTCTGACAAGCAGAATGCCAAAGCCCGCCGGGATCCGAGCGTCACTGTGTTGGTGGGCCACGCCCCTCCTGTAGCCCTGCCTCACCTGCACAGCCACATAGGTAGGGGCCTGTTTTACGACCTCTATTTCGACACTTAGTGTGATGGCTAATGAGCATTGCAGACTCGGGCGTATGCGTAATGGGTGTTTATCATACGCCCCGTGGCCGCCCGACTCATTTGGTCCTTGCGTAGAGTCGAAATGTCAGCTGGCCTGGGCAAACATGGACCAGCAAATATTTAAATTGGAGCTCTACCAAAAAGTGACACATAGAAGTACTCGCCTTACTCGGCAGATTGTTGTTCCGTCTTGTCTTGATTTGATTTAATTGTGTGCATATGAAAATCCTCGCAGGCGTGTGTGCCACTTCAGGCAAGCTTTTTGCTCTGCTCCAGCCACGTCCTGCTCATAGTTATTTATATAAAATACTCACAAGCATAATAGCAAAGGCAAATAAAAAACAAACAATATTTAAATAACGGATTACAAGGCAGAGGCGGGGAGCAAGTCGGAAAAGAAAGCGATGCTGATGCTGATGGTGATGCTGCTGCCACAGCAAAAACAGAAATTGGAACAAGCCCGTTGGACGTCATGTAAGTTTCCCATTTAGTTATGAGCTCCGCTTCTTGGCCGATTGCCTACCCGAGTCACTGGATCAGTGCGTAGACTGGCTGGCAGCCTGCTAGGACTTCCCCCGTCTCTGCTCCGTTTCACTTCATTGTGTCTCCGGCGAAAGGCTTTGTTTTTATTTTGGTTTTAAAACTCATTTTTATTCATTAGACTCCGTTCATTGCACGATGATGTCATGTTAACCAAGCCGCGAACGCACGTACTCACCAGTGGCGAGGCCCCACACCAGATGGTTCCTCAGAATATTGCATTTGGCAAAGGCATCAGCATAATCATGAATTTTGAACGTGCGCCATTTTATGGTTTTTATTCAATCTCGGCACACACTCTCACCCCTTGAGGCTGGGTTTAGCATAATTTAAGGCCCTGCTGCCCATTCAAATGTCCTTCAGGGACCCGGGAAGGATGCAGTCCAATCAGGACTCTGCCAACTTTTAATTTCCATTTATTTTTGTGACTTTTGCTACGGCCTGGCCAGCTTATCTTTCTGGCATTGTGTGCAACCCGCATTGTGCGACCCTTTGCAGATAAATATCGGCTGGCATCTTTTAGTGCTTTCCGTTTGATTGGAACTTGCAGCCCGAGTTTTTGGCACAGCCCATCGGGCTACAAATGCAAAAGTTTGCAAGTGGGATGTGAATAGTTAAAGATACTATTGTATATACCTATAACTGGTCCGGGCTTCCAGAATGTGAAGTCAATCAAATAGCGGCTTTACCGTCGAAATGGCAGGGCGGGTTTTATGACTGGAAATTGGATTAAAGCCCAACATAAACATTAACAATGGGCTGCAAGATGTCGAGCAGCCAATTCAAATTACATCGCCCGACTGAAGCTTTACAAATTAAGCCCTTAATGAGGACTTTGCATAATCAAGCCAAAGTCGAAGGTGGGCCACGCGAATTGATGACTGGAAAATTACACGAGCTGCCTGGACGGAAACCAATCCTGATTGATGGCCGGAGTCCCACCTGTTCACAAGTGCTGCCCAGGTATCAGTCGAGTGTTTTTGGGCTGAGTTCTGAATTATTCACGAAATTGGCTAATTATCGAAAAAGCTTGGGGTTCGTGTCTCATGTCCTGTCCTGTGCTTTGTGCTTCTGTGTCATGTGTGCCGTTCGAACTACAAACATTCTATTAGCACTGAATGAATTATTAATAACTGTGTCAGCCGCCTGCTAATGAGATGTTGTGTGTTCTGCCGTTTGCTGGGTGTGGGTGTTATTTACGGACCAAATGGAAGGGGGCAACTCAACTGGACACTTAAATTTTGGCAGTGTTTGCTTAGGCCTAAGCAGAAAATCATTAGTTGAAATGCGCAAATATCTCTAACGTTTTTATTAGTCGAGCAGCAAGTAATTGCCCACAATTAGGCTTTAATAGAACGACCGTAGAGAGCCGCCTTCCGACTATCCTAGCTCCTAAGCACACACACAATAGCGCCACACACTGTGTGCAGAGAGTGAATCAGGACTCCCACTAGAATTCAGGCCCTGTGGATTCCTGGGGGATTAAGCTGAGCGTGAATACGTTTCGGTTGCTCGTTAACTAAGAATTACCCTGTGTGCTCGGTGTGCTGAGAAAAGTTCCTTTGTCTTTTCTGGAAACCTCTGTTTTCTTTTTCTGTTTTCTGTTTTCTGCTTTCGCTTTATTTTGTATTTTTATTGAAGCCATTCTGTCAAGGCAGCAAACAACAGACTGACACTAAGATGTTGTTGTTGCAGAGAAAGAATTCAGAATTTTTCTTTCTATATTTTGTTTACTTATTTTTTCCATCATCGACAATTATTTTCTTCACTGCCTGCTCGCACTTTGCATAAATAGATGACGCACAATTTTAAGTTACTAGACGTGTTCTCTTTGTTTTTATTTAGCTAGGGTAGGGTTTATATCGATTTTTTTAGAATTGTTAAACAACATTTTAATTCGTTCAAGAGCATTTTTACATTGTTAGTTCAATTTAGTATTTATAGCCGTTACTCGTAAAGAAAAGGGTGGAATGAATAGTATATGTAACATTGAGGAAAAAGCATTTCCTAATTTTGATCAGGATTGTCCAGCTATTTCGGGTTTCCTGTTTGTTAGTGCTTCTGTTTGTATGAGGACCGTGATTTCTGAATCTGTAGAGGCTAAACAGTTAGTATTGCACGTACATATTCTGTGAGGAGAATTAGGCAGCACGCATATTTGGTATACATAAAAATTGTTTAGCTCTCAATAAAATGTATATTGAATTCAAAACGTCATGAAAAAATATTGGGTGTGTTCACTGTATTTTGACCAGGCGCTAAATTAAGGTTGGATCTCGGGAAAGTTACCGTTAAACCGTTAACCGGTTTCCCCAAAATATTGTTCTTCAGATAGGAAACTAGTCCTACTCTTAACCGAAAAAAAACAAACATTAAAAGATTCATCAAATCGGACGCCATAGCATGTCAAATTTCGAGATGTACCTCTTAGATTTATTTGTAATGTTTTTGGGAAGACAAAGTTACAAAAACTTAGTTCTTTATTTAAATACTAAAATAACTGAAATTCTAACGCCATTAAAAATTGTTATTTTGGGATATGAAGATTTATGTTAAACACAACCGCAAGCCAATTTGTGGTATTGTTTGTTAATATATAATTCTATATTAAGTGGCAATTATTTGTTATTTGCGCTGTTAATGCATTTTGGTCATCGGTAGTCATAAATATTTAATGCCCAAAAAATGCTGTTACTATATTAAAATTTTAACATTTCCGCCGAATTTTAGTTTAAAATTTAATTTAGATTAAAATTAAAGTTTTTGGCAATAAGATGTGAATAAGACTTAAAAACAAAATACAAAAAAAATATTCTGTAGGGCTTACAATCTAAACTACAATAAATTGGTAAATAATTAAGAACACTCTCTCGTTTTCTTCGGTGACTAAGTTTTTATTTCGGGCTCGATACGATTTTGTTTAGGACTGAACTACTTGGCATTATGCAACATTTTTAGACACTGAAAAACCGTTTTTAAAATCAACATTTTAATTGCTTAAACTGCGTCAATAGATAACAAAATAATTATATAC